AGCCAAACTGGAATTGGACTGTTTAGTCTGTTTGTTCCCTCAGTTGGCCTTTCAAGTTTTGCATCTTCAAAGGATTTATTTGAAGCATTAACATGCTGATTTGTTTCTTGCTAAAGCAATGCGCTACAGTGATACTGGCAAGAAGATTCTTTCTTCCAACCTGTGGTTCCCATTTATTCCTCTCTCAATAATTTGCTAACCAGAGATCCAGATGTGTAATAAGATACCATTTAAGTATGTGAATGGAATACCTATTCTATAATTAATGCTACATGGCACTAATTTTTCTCACCATGTATATGATTCCAGTGGAGCTAAGCTGGGTTTATGCTCTTTGTCACATGATTTCTTACCTGACTAATTGCTAGCAGAAGGTTTTTTCCTTAAAAAAAAAGTTTTTGTGTTAGTCACCCACAGCCAAATTAGAGGCTTTTCGCCCCAATGGCATAAACTTTGAATATAACAGTTTCTTCTATTCATGCTTTTTCCTTTAAAAAAGAGTTAGAAGAGCTTGTTTGTGCTGGTTGGGACAACTAGAAAGTTGCTCATGATTAAAAAAATAATAATTATAAGGAAAGGGGACAGAAAGTAGTACCATGTTATAGAATCCTACATATATAAGATTTAGTAGTTTAAATTGTAAAATACATTAGTATTTTTTTCTAATGTCTTTATTGGAGTATAATTGCTTTACAATGGTGTGTTAGTTTCTGCTTTATAACAAAGTGAATCAGCTATATGTATACATATATCCCCATATCCCCTCCCTTTTGCATCTCCCTCCCACTCTCCCTATCCCATGCCTCTAGGTGGTCACAGAGCACTGAGCTGACCTCCCCTGCTACCCACTAGCTATCTATTTTACATTTGGTAGTGTACATGTCAATCCTACTCTCTCACTTCCCCCTCCCTGTGTCCTCAAGTCCATTCACTACATCTGCATCTTTATTCCTGTCCTGCCCCTAAGTTCATTGGAACAATTTTTTTTTTTTACACTCCATATATATGTGTTAGCATATGGTATTTGTTTTTCTCCTGACTTACTTCACTCTGTATGACAGACTCTAGTTCCATCCACCTCACTACAAATAACTCAATTTCCTTAAAAAACTAAAAGTAGCACTACCATATGACCCAGCAATCCCACTACTGAACATATACCCTGAGAAAACCATAATTCAAAAAGAGTCATGTACCACAATGTTCATTGCAGCTCTATTTACAATAGCCAGGACATGGGAGCAACCTAGGTGTCCATCAACAGAGGAGTGGATAAAGAAGATGTGGCACATATATACAATGGAATATTACTCAGTCATTAGTATTTTAATTGTAGTTATTCAAAATTGTCATTTTTGCAGTAGAATTAAGGAAGAGAACTAAAACTTGGAAAACTAAAAATGTATATTTAAAGCTATACTATCTTCTATTTATAACCTGTACATGCATGTGAAGGGTTTTTAAAAAATAGAAGCTACAAGATACTTGTAAATAATTCTTTGGCATTTTCTTTGCAAATTTCTATTTATTTTAGATGCATGGATTTAAAACTTGCCTTTAGTATTTATTAACAAAAAGAAAGTTAATGAGAAAAAGATAATGGAAATTTTAGAAATTGTTAAGTTTGCTGAATTTTTCTGAACTCTTCTATTATTTCTGTTAGTAGATATACTTACTGTCTTTCACTGTAAAAAATGAATTGACATATAAATGAAACAATGAGTTTCTTTCTTTACTAAATGTGTTTGGTTTGGTTTCTGCTTCTACTGAATAAGTAGGCACTAGTTTATTCTTTATGTGCTTTATATACGTTTTAAATGTGTATTATAGAATATTTTCAATTATATTTTTTAATTTTACAATTTCAAAACCATGCATATAATACATTTTTTTAACTTTCCAGGAAATTCAGTTGAAAAAAGGTTTTGATAGCAATTGAATAAAAATATGTGAAGCTCCAAAAATTTATTAGTTCAACATATTCAATTCAATTTAATAAAGATCTGTTGAGGACTTAGTATATGTCTGGACCTGGACCTATGTCTTAATAGATAAAGAAAAAATTATATTGCACTTCATGGGACATCAAAAGAAAAATAATAAAATTCAACTATGAGCAGGTGGGCAAATGCTTGGCATAACGTGTATTATTACAAGCTAACTGGATAGATGCTACATCTGACTTAAATTCAAGCCCTATAAATTGTGGAACACAGGTTGAGTGATTAAAAAACACTTTGAGAAAGTTATTCTTCCTATCTTCTCTTGCATATCACATTTCTTCTTCACAACGTTCAAGGTCATTTACTTCATTTCCCCATCCTAACAGATTAGAAAATGATAAAATTATGTTCACAAAGTTGTTTTTAATGACTGGAAAATACAATTTACAAAAGAAATTATAAGAAAACTATTCAAGGTGCTTTTGGGATTATTTTATTTTAATTGTTTAGTATGGACACCATGAATTTCTCCAACTTCCCCCAGGAGTAGCAAGGAAAGCACTTTTCGGTTGGCTCCCATCATTTATGCATGGTATATCTGATGGAACCCTCTATCCTCAAGACTATGTTTAATTCTGAATAAACAGAGAAAAGCACAGCAAATTGTTTTTTGTTTTTTTTTCCCTTTTCCTACTAGGAAGTTGAACTCAGAAATTTGGATTTTTTTTATTTTAAAGTTAGTGTTTAACAGATGTTTTAATGTATTTTGTGTTAATATATCTTCCATTAATATTGTAGACAACACTTTTACATTGACAAAGTGCTTTCACTCTATTATTCATTTCACTCCAAATAATAATGTTGTTTCTTTAGCTACAGCATTGTTTATAGACTAATACTGGATTAAAAACATATCAACAACTTTTCCTTGTAATCAATTCACACCAACTACGGTTATCACCAGAGCTAAGGATATAAATCCTCCTCCGTGTTTTAACGCCATGGCTTTGTATAAGTGAAATTACTCTGATAAAGTAGCATTCTTTACTGAGCTGTAAAATAGAAATATATCAATAGGATACAAAAATTGAGTAATTTTAAAATGTTTATTTTCATTTGTGTATACGTAAGACAAAAATGATGACTGAACTTGAATAAATAAAAAGGCATTATTAGTATGAGAAACCCCATAAAATGGAAAAATCTTCAATCAGCTTTTTTATTTATTTTATTTTGTTTCTCAGCAATTAGTGTTTGGCTTGATGTTGTTCTAATAATTATTGTTTTATTAAGATAGTATTGAACTACTTAGCTGCAATTTATTTATCCATTTTGTATTTTGATGTGAGTCACTGTGGAAATTCTTGACTTGACCTTCAAATGCATCTTTGCTTTGCAAACATTCTTAAAAGGTAGTAAGTAGTTCTTTGAGTCTTGAGGATTTTCAAAATACAAATTTTTCCTTTAGTATACTTTTATTTATTTTTTTTGTTGGTTTGTTTTTTTGTTTTTTGCGATACACGGGCCTCTCACTGTTGTGGCCTCTCCCGTTGCGGATCACAGGCTCCAGACGCGCAAGCTCAGCGGCCATGGCTCACGGGCCCAGCCGCTCCACAGCATGTGGGATCTTCCCGGACTGGGGCATGAACCCGTGTTCCCTGCATTGGCAGGCGGACTCTCAACCACTGCGCCGCCAGGGAAGCCCTCCTTTAGTATACTTTTAGCCTGTGCACCTGAAAAGATAACTGACACATGATCCATGATCTATTAGTGATAGTGTTGTTAGGTTAGGAAATAACTGGTGTAGTCTTTGCAATTTACCAGATTTTTTTCCTATCCTCTACTTAGCATATGCCTACAGCTTGCTGACCCTCAAAACTTTGGGCAGCATAACACTAGTACCACTGAGTGCATTAAAATTATTCACCCAAAGACTACATCATTAATAAATGTGTGTTTTGAGGGACAATACCCCCTCTACCTGCAGCATACTGAAAGGGTCTCTGACACCACCCCAGCAATTCTAGCAGAGCTCTTTCTCACCAAAGACACAAGCATACCAGAATAGAACTTTGGGTTTGAGAAAAGTTTGCAGCTCTCTTCTCTAGCCTATAAGGGGCCTCGAGCTGAACTGTCATTAACACATTTTATTTCATTAAATTAAACGGTGGAGACTAAAGAACGTACCCAAACAATATGAGCCCAGGGAATCAGATAGCCTGGAATGAAGAAATACCCTTGAAAGTACTTTACTTTTATCTTGTATGTATTTGAATGAAGAAGTTCAAAGAACTTTACATAAAGTAAATAGGTGTAATTTATAATATGCAGCGTATAATATCTTTATGAGTTAATGTGAGTTAGCAGAGAACAAAGAGCAGGTAATCCTTATCCTATATTTTGCCAAGTAGAAAGTGAGACATGGAGATAATTTTTGTCCATGCTGGGAATAGAAGAGAACTTTTCCATAATAATCCAGTAATTTACCTCAATGAAACCATTTATACTCTTAACACACGCACATATGCCTACTCATTGTTTTTCTTCTAGCATTTATTATGATCTAAAATATTATTATTAATTTCAGGAATATGTAGGTCACTAGTATTTCTCCAAGTTTCCTCCTGCTCATCCTTGGCTTTTGTTGAGTTCATAACTCCTGCTCGACTAGCACACATTTACCACAGAAAACCCTGTTGTGAGCTTTTCTTTTTCCACCCAATGGAATCTTCTGGTACAGTGTCATAGCTGCAAAGTAGAATTTTACTCCCAAATTTCATAGGAATCAGTCCAACTGTACAATGAAAGATTATGCAAATCTGCAAGGAACATCTAATCAATCACCGTGGTGTGAGAGGAATGCAGCTGATCGCTGAATTAGCTTCTGTGGGAATGTATTCATGTGTAACATCCCACTGACTGGATGACATCACAACAGCTCCAGGTCCTTGAAAGTCTTGAGGATGATTAGTCGAAGGAATTGGCCGTTTCTGCCAATCATAATCCGGCAGAGCTGCCTTTATAGTTCTGAAGATGTGAGAGAAAGACGGGGGAGGGAAAGACCAACTCCAGCTAAACGAGAAGCACAGCAGCAGTAGCAAGAGCAGAGCCGGAGCAGCTGGTATTCTGGTGATTAAATAGTTCTCGTAGCCTTTCTGCTGTACTCGGTCCGCTCCCTGGTGTAAGTCTCATGTCCAAGAAGGAAGCTGCATTTTAACGGTGTGCTGAACAGAGGTTTGAATCATTCCAGCTGGCTGCTTGTTTTGAAAAGGACAATGTGCGTATAAATAAAAAGAGACTCTGCTGGAAGAGTCCAGATACTAGGACTGGAGCTAAAGAGTGCTCTCGGAATATTAAGGCAGACTGTACGAACTGAAAGCTCCTTCTAATTAACCTGGAGCCAAATGAATCTGCATACTGGATATCTCATTTTCTAACTCGGATAAATACAAGTTAGAAAAAGAAAAAAAAAATTGAAATGCTTCTCTAGGTAAGTTATTGCTTCATTTGCTGAAACTGAGGTGTGTGCATTAAATGAATATATGTTGCTTAGCTATGTAAACAAGTTGAACACAATAAAGTTTTATTTGTGAAAGATTTATGTAGAAGCAGATTATAGTTTTAAACCAAATGCAGTCTCCCTTTTCAGCATATGTGTGCTTACCTGTCATTACGCGTTGTGGAAGTTATATTTGCACACTAAATGGAAAATACAGTCCTGCCTAAAAAAAGATACAACTTGAAATATTGTAAACTGTTGCCAGAACATTTGCATAATAAAGATCTCACTTGATAACAATTTTCGCCTTTTCATATTAAAATGCCAGTATTCCAAACTCAAGCCGAACAGTGGGGTTATAAATGTTTCCCTGAGAAGTGTTACTGATAACATGGCATTCAGGTTACTCAAGATGGGAACTCCTCTCTTTGGGACCTGAGATTTATAGCCACGTTCTGTCCTAATGGTCTGCTTTAGAGAAGCAGCTGTCACAGACATTTTAAATTGCTTTTAAAGAAATAGATGCTTTCCTACTAGGACCTATTAGGAAAGAAAAACAAATTCTTAAAACAATATATACCATATGCCATAAGCGCAGATTCCCAGTAGGATAAAAATAGCTTTATGTTACACCTGTAAATACCTCCAAATTCCTAATGCACAGAATAAGTTGAAATATAAGAAATGCTATTTAGGGAAGAGATGTGGGAACATATGTATATGTATAACTGATTCACTTTGTTATAAAGCAGAAACTAACACACCATTGTAAATGGTGTGTTATACTCCAATAAACATGTTAAAAAAAATGTCATTTACATATGGTTTTCATTCATCTCTTCCAACATCTCTGATTAGAGAAAGTTAAATAAAAAGGGAACCTTAAACTTGTATTTTCCTTGTAATTTGTCCTCATTAATAAGATACTGTATTTTTCAGAGTTACTATCAAGAGTATTTTCAAGTGATAATATATTTTGTTTGCTATGATAGGTTATACTGTGAGTTCTAATATAGCTCTGAGAAAGTTTCAATAGTTTATACTTTATTCTGTCTTTTCAAGCTCACTATTTCTTGATTTCATGGTGTTGTCTATCAGAATATTTTTCATCAACTCAATATCATAAATGTAAATTGCATGCGAAGATATTGATGTGTTGTCTTAATTATCAATATTTTAGTTATTCACTTTCTTACCAACTTCATGATTCAAATCCTGTGAGTTTCTTTATACAAATGGAAATAGATGAAGACAAAAGTTGTTGTAATTGGCTGAATATCTCCCAAACTAGAAGGCAATTTTTCCCCACAAAGATTTTAAAAGTCTTTTTTATATCAAAATAATAATTTTAATTTATTCTATTAAAATATTTCAGCTAGCTATATCCAGGGGCCAGGTAGGTGCTATGTTGATCATGGCTTTTTCATGAAGCAAATGTATGTAGAGAATGTAAAGTCCACTAACTAAAAAGTCTAAGTCTTCACCTGGAATTCATAAAAAATGAGTAATTAATAAGCAAAACGTATTCAACACATACATTTATCTCCATACAAAAATGAGAATTTAACATAATTTAACCCTGCTGTGATTGTTAATATTGTTATAATAAGAATCCTGTGAATATATATCTTATGATGATCAATATGACACAGCACCTACATTTGCTAGAAGTCTCATGATAAGCTGATGGAGATTTTTGGAAATTGAACATTAAGCAGAATCATTGTTTTTTTACTCCATCTTAATGGCAGTTGGTCAGCACTAAGGTTGATGCTTAGAAAATCCTTTGAAAAACTTATAATATGTATGACTTATTAACTATAACATGAAATTCACCCTGAGAGGCAAAATATAAACGCAATTTAGAAACTCAGGCATCATTCTTAAATAAAAAGGTAAAACTTCACAAGGATTCTAATATTTGTTTTCCTTTCTATAAACTTGCCAATGTATGTAAATTGCATTTTTTTTTTCTCCAGCTGAAGCTATTATCTAAGAGACATGTCTATTTAAATGATTTTCCCTAAATACCAAAAGAAAGTCAATGGAGACTATTTTATATATAAATATATAAAATCATAATTTGGAATTAAATAAATGCAGTTTCTTAATTCAAATCTAAGTGCTGACCTTACTTCTTAAAGATGTTAAATAAATGCTCAGTAAGTATTTGTACCCTATAGGTCTGATGTTTATATGATCCTCAGCACGTTCTGTTTGAGTGGGAAAGGTGCCATTGAGAATAAAATCCAAAAATCAAACTTTCTGTGCTTCATATAGTAGCAACGACTCAAGGAGAAGAACAGAGAAACGTTTAGCATGTTTTGTTCAAACTAGAAGTTTCTAGCTGGTGCTGCTGTCTCCCCAGATTTGGAAAGCAGCTGGGAAAAGTTATAAAATAAAGCTAGAATATCAGCCCTGGCTGGAAGCCACGGCAGAGAAGCTGTGCACCCAGAAGACTAATTCTTTCTGGGCTGCAATTCATTGATAATGCATTATGCTTAAAGTCTAACCTAACGTGTTACTTTTTTCTCTAGTACAAACTGTGGGATATTTAAAGAGCAAATATATTTTCTGAGGAGAGTAAAATTTTAAAATAGCAAACTTGTCTTCTTTATTAAAGGTTGCCCTAATGAAAACTGCGAATAGCCTAGCTGAAACTCCTATAAAATATAGTTGATGTTCAGGAGCAGAAAGAGAAATAAAGATGAGATGCACTGCCTAACCTTTATCTTGGAGATGGCAGAGTGGTCAGAAATACCACATATATTGGGGCTTCCCTGGTGGCGCAGTGGTTGAGAGTCCGCCTGCCGCTGCAGGGGACGCGAGTTCGTGCCCCGGTCCGGGAAGATCCCACATGCCGCGGAGGGGCTGGGCCCGTGAGCCGTGGCCGCTGAGCCTGCGCGTCCGGAGCCTGTGCTCCGCAACGGGAGAGGCCACAACAGTGAGAGGCCCGTGTACCGCAAAAAAAAAAAAAAAAAAAAAAAAAAGGAAAGAAAAGAAATACCACATATAAATACATGCCCAAAAGAAGTGTGAAGGTTTTCTGAAAGTAACTGGCCTAGTAAAATTCACTATAGAAGTAGACTTACTAAAACTGTGGTGGTGTATACCTTGTGAAGCTAGACAACAAAAGGGAAAGTTAACTCTCATCCATATTTATTCCAAATCACTAGGAAAAAGGGAAACCATGTTGTCTGTTGATTTATTTTAAGTTTATGAAGTGAGAGAAATGGGTCAGGTGGTAGACATAATGCTGCTGTCTTCAGCCATCAGGGAATAACATTTAGTCAACCTTTTCTCTAACACTTCAGGAAACTTTCAGCTATACTGTTAGAGTGTCAAATGCCCTCTTTTTTTTAGTTATTTTCAGCAAGCTTCAGAAGTTAGAGATGTCAACTGTAATGTAGAACTTTTATAAACACAGTCTTATTTCCAAGTGTTCTTTATCTCAGTTTTCTTAGGAATGCTATCACATTCTAGAGTTGACAAATCTAAAATATCTTTTAGAATAATATTGAATTGATAACAGATTTTCCCCAAATCCAAAACAGTCTTAATAAAATCCAAACATATCAATGGCTTTCAGCATTTCAAGACAAATACATATTTTTTTAAATGTGAAGATAACTTATTCTCCATTCCTACTGGTGAAAATGTTTGTGGATATAAATTGATGTATTTATTTCTTTTGTCTTCTTATAATTTGTCTATATTCATAAAGATCCATATAATTCAGGCCATGACATAGATTATAACAAAATAGCCTGTATATGACAAACTAAATATTGGCTTTCAAGTGACTCATTGAGGAAATTCTCATATATAGGCTACCTTAAAAATATTTCTTCAAGAGATATACTTGATACTTTATGAATTCTAAATGATAATCATGATTAATTCATTGGAATTAAGGAAACATGAAAACTTTGAAGGGTTAAAAAAGACTGAATGCTTGAGAACTTAATTTGGTGATGTACTCAGGGTATCTGAGAAAACAAAGCTGATGACGCTAGTTCTAGAAAGAAACTTCTGTGCCAAACTCAATTTTTACACTTCTTAGAAATTAATGTTTTAAATATTTGAAGGGTTTGATAAGAAGGAACTTTTACCAAGCTAACACACACATGCACACACATAACACAAAGCATTCTTTTTCCCCAGATTAAAAAGATTTCCCCCATTTTGGACCTTCCACCATCAGATGAACTTGAGTTTGCTTTATTTCAAATATTTAACCTCCTCATTAAAAGTCTTTAATGGAATCTGTCTTCAAACATAACCTTATGGAAGTTGAAAGCTGGACAATTTCAGTATGTTCAAGCAAAAGGTAAATGTGGAAATGCTTCCTTAATCTCTTTACACTCACTTTTTTCTTCCTTTCTTTCTGTTCCTCCTTTTCCTTCTTTCTTTTTTTCTTCCTCTCTCTTCCCTTCCCTTTTCCTCCTTTCTTCTTTCTCATTCTTTCCTCCCTCCCACCTTTCTTCCTTTTCTCTCTTTCCTTATCTCTTTCCC